ACAACAACAACAACAACAAATCATGTTTTATTTGAATGCAGTGTACTTGTTGTTTAGTGCTTTTATGGTAATTAATAACACAGATTTTTTGCAGAAATGATGGTTACTGTGATAAAAATGACCCACCAAAGATAATAGCAGTGTGTAGGGGTTGGTGGGAAAGGGTTTGATGCAAGGCCTATTGTATGGAGGAGCATTGAATGAGGATGCAGGGTGGTGCAGACCTGTTGAGCTCTTCCATAGGAACAAATATGTATATGAGCTGTGACTCTTGCAAGGGTTCACTTGTCATTTTGACATATTTACACTAGCAGGCAGAAGGACTCAGCTGAAATTTGCTTGCTCTGCCTCTTGCTGAAGCTGACCCAGCTACCTTTCCAGCATTGTACTTTTTCTAGTGTTTTGTCCAGTTTGGTTTTAGAAGTCCCAAGTGATGGGAGCCACTAAGAGATCCTGGACTGACGCTGGGGAGAGAATTCAAAGCCAGACCCTTGAGCTTTTGTGCTGATCCATTTATCTCCTTCCTCCCTCCTCCCCCCTTAACTGTTGTGCTCTTTACACTCATAGAAGCAGAGAAAAGTGGACTAAAATCTATGAAAGAATCTTTACCAGCTTTAGAGATACTGTATTTCATGTTATTCCACTTTTCCTCTGGAATGTGGAGGAAAGTGGCATTTCTGGGGAATAAAATGCAGCAATCCAAAATGGAGAAATGTGGGTGAGAGACCAGATACAGAAGGGAGAAGGTTGGTGTGCCAATATAGACCTTAGCTAAGATAGGAAACATGAGGTTAGTTGGATGGGATCAGCCCTCCTTCTGTTCTCTCTCACACTGTAAGTTTGTCTCTGGGTTCAGATGATGGCTAAAAATCTAAGGGTGGTGTTTTTCAGAAGTGCTTAGCTTGGCTTAACTGCTGGGAGCAGAGTGAGGCCTGTGTTGAGTGCCTATGAAAATCCCACTCTAAAATGTTTACTATTTTCCTAAAAAAAGAACAGGAGTACTTGTGGCACCTTAGAGACTAACAAATTTATTAGAGCATAAGCTTTCGT